CAACTGTATCTTTAACATGGCCTGCAACACAGTGAAAAGAGCCTTTGGAAGATTGAAGGCAAGGTGGCAGAGAATATTGACATGTCTTGAAGCTGCACAGGAAAATTTAAGCCAGTTGTTGCTCCTGTGTAGTATTGACACGATGTTTGTAAGACAAAGGGTCATGTGGTTGTTAGAGACACTGACATTTCAAAACTGATGATGACTGAAAGGCAGGCCAATATCACTGGAACTCACATGTAGATGGTGAAAGAATTAGGGCTGCAATTGCTGCATATTGGTGATACTAATAAGGCTCTGTGTACTATGCTAAAGCAGCATACTATATTTCAAATCATGAGATTTAAAATTTTTTTTCTTCCTTGCAACTATTCCGGTATTTCTATTATAATGAAATAGCACTACTATTGTTGTGTTCTGGGAACAATAAAGTTGCATTACAGAACTTCATACATGAATTTAGTTTAATACCTAAAATTCTTATGAATCAAACACAAATTGTTTCTTTAACATTGATCATTAACTTTTTGTAACAGCAAAACAAATATTTTAGCTGTGAACCAACTTTTATTAACAAACCCATGGATAACAGAAACCACTGAAAATTGGTATCTCTGTGTTTTAAAGAATTTTTCCCACTGTGCATTCTTTAAATAAAAAGTGTTTGGAAACCAGTGTTCTTGGTCCTTCCTCTAACAAAACTGCATATTAAGGTCATGGATTGGGAATGCAGCCTGGATAGGGTTATACTTTTCTTGATTATAGCAGCTGTCCCAACCTATATATATTATCTTTTAATTATTTACACCATAGTGTTATGTTCTCAGGGTTTTAGGAAATGGTTTTCACATAGTACATTGCATTGGTTCTTTTTTAGCAATGGAACAATAGAACCATTACAGTGGTGCCTTGACTTATGACCATAATCCATTTCAGAAGATGGACGTAACTCAAAATGGTCATAAATCGAAGCACAGTTTCCCATAGGAATGCATTTAAATGCAATTAATCTGTTCTGTCTGAAGGGGGAAAAATCACTGCAAGACCCATTGGAAACACAACCAATGACTACAAAATCCTTCTCACTTGTAATATTGCTAAGCCAGGTATCATACATCTTATCACTGTGTGTTTAGTTTTGTTTGGTTTCTTTTTCCTAGCTGCCGTACATTGTATTTATTCCTGTTGAATTTCATTCTGTTTTTTTCAGTGCAGTGCTCAAACCTATCTAGGTCATTTTGATTTTTTGTTTCTCCCTTTCAGGGTATTAGCTATTCCACCCAATTTTGTATCATCTGCAAATCTGATTAGTATTACCTGCACCCCCTGATCCAGGTCATTAATAAAAATGTTGACGAGCCCTGGATCCAGGACTGAGCCCTGAGGTACCATATTTATTACCTCCTCCCAGCTGGAGAAGGAGCCATTAATCATCACCCTCTGAGTATGATTCTGTAGCCAATTGTGTTTCCACCTGACACTTACATCCAGCTCACACCTTGTTAGCTTGCTAATCAGAATATCATGGGGCACTTTGTCAAAAGTTTTGTTGAAGTCAAGATATACAGTGTCTACAACATTCCCTCTGTCTACTGGAGAGGTTACACAATCAAAAAAATGAACTGAAATTAGTTTGGTGGGATTTCTTCTTGACAAATCCATGTTGGCTTCAATTTATTACTGCTTTGTTTTCTAGGTCCTTGCATAGTGACCGCTTTATAATCTATTCGAGAATCTTTCCTGGAATTGATGTCAAACTGACTGGTCTGTAGTTCCCAATTTCCTCCTTTTTGCCCTTTTTGTGGATAGGGACAACACGGGACATCCTCCTGTTATCTGGTACCTCACCCATTTCCCATAATTTAAGTGGGGGAAAGGACAGGGGTTCTGAGAGTTCTTCAGCCAGTTCCTCCTGTACTCTTGGATGCAATTCTTCTGGTCCTGGAGATTTGAACTCCTTCATGATAATAAGATATTCCTTGACTATTTGTTTATCCATGTCCATCTTAAATCCCGTCCTCTCTTGCTTGCACTTTACATTTGTCTGGAGGCTCAGAGTCATATTAGGAAAAGACTGAGCTAAAATAGGAATTGAACACATCTGACTCTTTGTCGTCTATTGTCATTTTCCCATTTCCACTGTGTAGCTGAGCCACAGTATTTTCTTTGTCTTTTGCTACATATATACCTGAAGAATGCTTTTTTTGTTGCTCAGCCTAATATAGCATTTGCCTTTTTTTAAAGCCACATCACACTGTGGGCTCATAGCTTGTGATTTACAATGACTACAAAATCCTTCTCACTTTTAATATTGCTGAGCCAGGTGTAACACATCTTATCACTGTGGATTTGGTTTCTTTTTCCTAGCTGCCATACATTGTATTTATTCCTATGGAATTTCATTTTGTTTTTTTCAGCGCAGTGCTCAAGCCTATCTAGGTCATTTTGAATTTTTGTTTCTCCCTTTCAGGGTATTAGCTATTCCACCCAATTTTGTATCATCTGCAAATCTGATTAGTATTACCTGCACCCCCTGATCCAGGTCATTAATAAAAATGTTGAAGAGCCCTGGATCTAGGACTGAGCCCTGAGGTACCATATTTGTAACCTCCTCCCAGCTGGAGAAGGAGCCATTAATCATCACCCTCTGAGTATGATTCTGTAGCCAATTGTGTATCCACCTGACACTTGATCTATCCAGCTCACATCTTGTTAGCTTGCTAATCAGAATATCATGGGGCACTTTGTCAAAAGTTTTGTTGAAGTCAAGATATACAATGTCTACAGCATTCCCTCTGTCTACCGGAGAGGTTGCACAATAAAAAAAATGAACTGAAATTAGTTTGGTGGATTCAATTTATTACTGCTTTGTTTTCTAGGTCCTTGCATAGTGACCGCTTTATAATCTATTTGAGAATCTTTTCCTGGAATTGATGTCAAACTGACTGGTCTGTAGTTCCCAATTTCCTCCTTTTTGCCCTTTTTGTGGATAGGGACAACACGGGACATCCTCCTGTTATCTGGTACCTCACCCATTTCCCATAATTTAAGTGGGGGAAAGGACAGGGGTTCTGAGAGTTCTTCAGCCAGTTCCTCCTGTACTCTTGGATGCAATTCTTCTGGTCCTGGAGATTTGAACTCCTTCATGATAATAAGATATTCCTTGACTATTTGTTTATCCATGTCCATCTTAAATCCCGTCCTCTCTTGCTTGCACTTTACATTTGTCTGGAGGCTCAGAGTCATATTAGGAAAAGACTGAGCTAAAATAGGAATTGTACACATCTGCCTCTTCTTTGTCGTCTATTGTCATTTTCCCATTTCCACTGTGTAGCTGAGCCACAGTATTTTCTTTGTCTTTTGCTACATATATACCTGAAGAATGCTTTTTTTGTTGCTTTTAGTCTCTAGCTAACCTGAGCTCATTCTCAGCTTTGACTTCCTAATGCCACCCTTGCAATTCCTTGCTACTTGTCTGTACTCTTCCTTTGTGGCCTGGCCTTCTTTTAATTGCCTATACATCTCTGTTTGTTTTGTTTTGAGGTTCTCTCCTCGCTTTTTGTGAAACCTTTTTTGCTGTCTCCCACCTTTTTTTCTTGTTGGAATTGTTTGTTGTTATGACTTTAGAATTTCTATTTTTAGAAGCTTCACCCTGCTTGGACTCCTTTTCTTTTTAGGCTCCCTTGTCATGGGACTTTACTTATCCTTGTTCTGAGCTCATTAAAATTGGCTTTTTAAAAATCCAGTTTATATGTGTGGCTATTAGGGTTGGGGGTATTTGTATACGAATACAAATATCTCCACACAGCTGGAGTTAATGAGGCCCATGTTCACTCACATGTTTGCCACTGCCGCTCGCCCCACTCATCTTTCCAATTGCTTCTGAGCGCTGTTCTCTTTCCACTTGTCTAGCCACTTCTGGCAGAGGGAGGATGAGTCTCCCTGCAAAGGTGCTGAATGGCTAGGTGAGCGGTGCTCCAGAGTGATTGGAAGGAAGAGAGGAGCTGCTCATCCAAGCAGCTTCTTTAGTCTGAGGAGAGTTGGTAGGGATCCTCTGCCAACTCTCCTCAGACTGAAGAAGCTGCTTGCATGAGTAGTGAAACATTTCAACCTAACAAGAAAGAAGTCCAGTTGCCATGACTCAGCACCTTTATACAGTAGGTTCCTTTCATTCAAACAAGCCTTCTCTACCTGCAAATTATTATGCTAATGTAAGTCAGAACTAAAGTAGGCCCATATGAATCAATGGAACCTATGGAAGAGTTGACTCACCAATATCGCTTTGAGTCACTTGGTCTTTTTGTTGTTGCTGTTGTTTAGTCATTAAGTCATGTCTGACTCTTTGTGCCCTCGGGGACCACAGCATGCCAGGCCCTCCTGTCTTCCACTGCCTCCCTGAGTTGGGTCAAATTCATATTGGTTGCTTCAATGACACTGTCCAACCATCTCGTCCTCTGTCGTCCCCTTCTCCTCTTGCCATCACACTTTCCCAACATCGGAGTCTTTTCCAGGGAGTCTTTTCTCATGAGATGGCCAAAGACTTGGAGCATTAGTTTTAGGATATGTCCTTCCAGTGAGCACTCCGGGTTGATTTCCTTCAGAATGTATTTGCGAAGGCTTTCATGGCTGGGATCTAATGGTTGTTGTGGGTTTTTCGGGCTCTTTGGCCATATTCTGAAGGTTGTTCTTCCTAACGTTTCGCCAGTCTCTGTGGCCAGCATCTTCAGAGGACAGCACTCTATCCGAATGGATAGGTTTGTTCTCTTTGCAGTCCAGGGGACTCTCAAGAGTCATGGAGTTTTCTTGGCAGACACTGGAGTGGCTTGCCAATTCCTGCTCCAGGTGAATCGTGTTTAGCCATAACTCTCTACTATGACCTGTCCATTTTGGGTGTCCCTGCATGGCATGGCCCATAGCTTCTCTGAATTACGCAAGCCCCTTTGCCACAACAAGGCAGCAATCCATGAAGAGGTCAATAGGTCTATTCCAGTGCAATTTATTTTGCATTATACATATTAAATTTGGGACTCCAGATGCTATGAGACTACAGCTCCTAGAAATCTTAACCATTGACTGTGGTAGCTGATGCATTACACAGCTCGCTTCCCCTACATTTTTGACCCAAACAATATTTCCCAAAGGCTGTTTTATACACAATCCTGTTTTTCTCTATTCATTTGTGGTCTATAGAAGAGTTTCACAAACCCTTGGGGAGAAATAAACAAGTGGGTTTGACTTCCACCAATACACAGAAGTTATTAAGAATGATATTTAACCTTCTCAGTAAATGACCAATGCACATTTGAAAGTTCTGCTAACTGATCACACAGTAAGCATTTTATCCTCTTCAAACATCATTCAGCAGCCCAAACATCTACCTTTATTTGTTTCAGATGGTCTTGTATCTGGTGAATTATCTCTCTATTATGCCTCAAGTCATCTGACAATGAGTGGTTGAACTCACTTGGGAATTTTGAAGAGCCGATAGCCATAGCTCAGGGATGTGACAGATACAGCCGCAGCTCCAAGTGAGGTGGTTGTTACAGTTTGCTGACCAGACTCACTTGACTGTGTCCCATTGTCATTCACTGGGGCTTGTGTATTGGCAGCTTCTTGCTGGCTTGGTTCTGCCTGCCTTGAGCACATTACTGGAGGGGAGTCAAAAGAGATTACTTGGAGGATGAAGCTATCATAGTTTTCAGATGAAGGTCTTTGACTTCCTGTAGAACCCTCAACCTGCAGCCCTGGGACTTCTGGCGCTCCCTCGGTGGGCATTCTGCTTTGAACTTGCTTCTGTTGCTCGGCTGCACGCCTCATAACTTCTTCTGCAGGCAGGGAAAATATAACATGTTAGGATTCTATTTGTTGGTGATAGGGGAAGATTTTCTTACTATATGTGCATTGATTTTACAGACACAGGCTTCAGGATTTGGACTGGAAAAAATAGCTTTAATCACATGAAGAATCATGAGGAATTCCATGTGTCTTCTATTCAGTGTATACATGTTCTAATCAAGCCATATTTATGGGTTGTTGTCAAAGAATGTCCAAGCTGCAATTCAGATTGTTCCCTTTTGCTCCCAAAGGAGCTTTTTACTCTGCTGCGGGAGGAGAGGGGCTTCTAATTTTTCAAGCTGGAACCTTTTCAACGGGCTTTTTCCCGTATGGTTAGTTGTCATATGTTTTTGTAAAGATGACAAGTCTGTCTGTAAGTGGTCTTTTGGTGACACAGGTAGGCAGCTGGGGCATGATGTTCAGAACTGGAGGGACATGTCCCCACATTCCTTCCTCTCTCCAATCTCCCTCCAATTTTTTAATTTTTTTAAAAAATCTTACATATATGAGATTTGTGCTAGATCAGCCTATCACATTATTGATGAGTCATCCTTATTACTATTTCCCACATTTATGCATATACAGTACATGATTGAACGGCATCTGCAGAGCTACAAACAGGCATTTTGGCACTTGGGGCTTCCCAGCCCTACTGGGTCATGTGAGATTTAAATAGGCAGGGAAAGGAGGGTGGAATGGGGTGGGACACCTGAATGTGCCTTGATGACCATGTTGCCTCTGGCCTAGGGTTGCCAGATGTCCAGCAAAAGGAGGACATGTCCTCCTTTTTTGCCTAATGTCCTCCGTCTGGCAGGCAAAGGTAAAAACCTTTAAAATGTCAGGCTTTTGTAATATTTTATGTGCCGTCCGTAGGCTTCCCTGAACTTGGCTGCGGAGATGGATCTCGCCCCCCCAGCACGCACGGCGGGCGTGTTGCGATCGGGGAGGGCATGTCACACACCCTCTTCAGGTTCCCCGAGAGCGGATCTCGGGCTGCTGCCACCAGCCTTCTCACTCTGGGCGCATTCCTTGTGGCAGTGCACCTTGCTGTCGCAGAGCAGGCGGTGGAGGCACAGGCTGGCCTCCAGGTAACAGACACTCTCCTTCCAGTTTTCGCCCTCATACTGCTCCAGTGCGTAGGGAGTAGGCACTCTGCAGTGGCATCAGCTTGGCTTTGGGGAATCTGCAGAAGCTGCAGATGCCACTAAAGCTGCCAGTAGCAGCAGGAGAGCCCACAAGAGCCCGCGGCTGCACTGCGCCATGCCGTCCCTGCACGCAGCGGCTCCATGCCTCAAAGCTGCCCAGACACTTGGAGGCCCATCGGGAGTCTCCGGTAAGCAAGGGGGAAGGAGACAGAGGCAGCCCCATGCCACCCCACTGACACCCTCTTACCTTAATCGCTGCTGCTGAGGTCTTCTGGCCTCGGAGACATGCATGTAAAAATGGAGACTGGCTGCCCTTTGCAAAGATGGCAGCTGCAACTTCATTTACGATATGGAAGCTGCAGCTGCCTTCTTTGCCAAGGGCAGCCCGGAATACCTTAGCCTGCCTCAAGGAAATCCAGGTTGCCCTTTGCAAAGATGGCAGCTACAGCTTCCGTACCCTAAATGAAGCCACAGCCACCATCTTTGCAAAGGGCAGCCAGTCTCCCTTTTTACATGCCGTGGCTGCGAAGGCCTGATGGAGACCTCGGCAGCAGCTATTAAGGTAAGGGGGTGTTGGGAGTGTGGTGGGGGCTAAGGTAGGGAAAGGGAGGGTGTGTGGTGGTAGGCTGTTGGGTTGGCTAGTTGTGTGTGTGTGTGGATGGCTGCCTGTCAGCTTCTGATCAGCTGATCGGCAGCCAGTAGGCAGAATGGGCTTCTGTGCCGTGTAGTCAACTCTTCTGGGGGTCCCAATTTGTGAGTGAATAACTGGGATGTCCAACTCTTCTGGGGGACCCAATTTGTGAGTGAGTAACTGGGATGTCCGATATCCAATCTTCACCAAAGTTGGCAGGCATGCTGGTAAAGACATAGGAAGCTCCTTTGTGATTCTGGAGTCTCTAAGTACCTGGGGGGAGCTTTCCTGTGGGGGTCCTCTTTGTGACTATATAACTCAGGGTCCGTGACCCAATGTTTACCAAACTTCCAGTAGTTGTGGAAAAGCGTCTGAGGAAGCTTCCCTGCAAATTTAGTGTCTCTAGGTGGTTGGGGGGCAATGTTACAGCAATTTAAAGTGCAGATGGAGCGATGGATTCATCCGTCGATTCATCAAAGAATATTCGTATCAGCAATTTGAAGTGCAGATGGAGCAATGGATTGATCCGTCGATTCATCAAAGAATATTCGTATATTCATATTCGTTGATCTGTTAACCTTGATGAATCATGAATCAAAATGAATCACAATTTTTTACTTGTCCCCATCTCTAATGTGTACAAATGTATATGTGCTTTCATTACTACATAATAATGTCACAACAAATTGTTTGTGTAACTTCTACATACATCATTTGAGGCAAATCAAGAAACTGGCATTGAATCATTACTCCATTTTCCATTATTGATGAAGAAACAAAAACTGGACAATTACCATTCCATAGTGAAAAAATCTCCATGTCACTTTGGGTTAAATCAGTTGCTAGAAAGCCAATATTAGGTGGTTGCTGGACTTTGTCCTGAACAGGGGCGGCTGAGGATCCCTTTGTTGTCTTAGGCTGAGAATCATCTGGTATAAATTCCTCAATGATGACATCATCACTTTCATCAGGAGACAGAGGTTTTGTTTCCGGGACCATGCGCCTCATCTCTCTTATCTCTGAATCTACCTTGTGAGCAGCAGCTTTCCTCCAGGAACTTTGGCTATCAACGAATTCCTCTACAGAAAGAATATACAAAGGAGGACGACATGCAAAACAGTTCATGTTAGACAGCTACTTTATAAAAATTAAGAACTTATATTTATACTGTGCTCAAGGAGTCACCACTTAAAGCCACTCAGAGTGGTCTATTTGACCAGATGGGCGGGATACAAATCAAATCAAATCAAATCAATCAATAATCAATCAATCAATCAATCAATCAATCAATCAATCAATCAATCAATCAATAACTTAGAGAATAATCAAACAACTAAATGCATAATCATAAGAGAAAATATCTCATCAGACACTAACCTGATGCTGGTGCTTCAAACCTAAGTACATGTTTGTTACGTTAAAGATGTGTCCTTAAAAAGATACTGTTCCCTAAATGACTGTGTTTCAAAAAAGTGTAAAGCAGCCCCATTGTGGTCTACAGTGGTTAAAACTACTGCATGGACCGATCCACCAACTTGCAGTAGTTGAGGTCTATTCAGTGTAGCTCTAATCCCAAAGTGAAACCTCAGTGTTTTGTAAGTTATTATTAAGTTTCACTGGGTGAGATTTGCACTGGTCAGATTTCATAGGTGCAGCAACTGTAGCACTTAATATTGTTGCTGTTATGTGCCATCAGCCTGGAGAATTCAGTCTAGCAGGCTGAGGCAAAGAGGAAGTCAAGCCTGGAGAATTCAGTCTAGCAGGCTGAGGCAAAGAGGAAGTCACAAAAGCAGCAAAATCAGGGAGCTGGACAGGGGACAGACTGTTTTTGTCTTTAGTGTAGAAGGGATTGTCACTCTTGAATTGGCCTTCTTAGCTACACTAGACGCTGTTCCAAGTCCTCCATTCAGAGCATGTTCCCATAGTCTCTTGAGACTGAAGGATGCCTAACTATGTGCTATCAAGCTTGAACGGACTCTAACAGGGCTTTTAAGGTAAGTGAGAGATTTAAGGACGGGTTTTACCTGTTCCACTCCCCTAGTAAGTTTTCATGACTGAGTGGGGATTTGAACCAGGGTCTCCTGAGTCCTCACCTGTCACTCTGTTCACTATACCACACTGGGGTATCTGGTACATGGTTAGATAGCATCCTATGCATTTCTGTTACATCTATTTGCATTCTAGAACCTGTAGTTCTGGGCATGACACAGAGCAGGGGAGGCATGAAACATATCCTGCAGGGCACTTGTGCCCCCACGGCTATTTTTGGAGGCCCTCACTCCCTGCCCTCCCCCCACAACTCAAAACAAAATCTATTTTTTTAAAAAAATTTAGAAAATGTTCAAAATACAATTAATAATAAACATAAAAATATCTAATAACCAAAATTAAGGAGGAAAAAAAACACACAGGCGACATACACTATGCACACGGCCACTGGGACCATTAGGAAATAACCGCTTGAGCCATTTACCCTTCTAGGGCCCTCTTCCCCTTCCAGAATGGTATAGGCTCATATGTGAGACATTGTTCCTTCCCCTTGATCAATACAAAATCAGTAAATTTCCCCCATATATCTGCAAACATATATTTAGTAATTATTCCCTTCTTAACTTCTATATTACATGTAAGTTTATTAGTAGTTATTTCTCAAATTTCTCTGAACCAATCACTTAATGACATTATCTCTCTCCCTTCCAAATGTTTATTAAAGCACCATTTTAGTGCATACAGCAAAATTTATGGTGCTTAGATTTCATTTATTTCTATAAAAACCAATAGACAAAATTTATACTCAAATTTCTACCACACATGAATAAGTCCCTATTTTCTGCCATCCCACCTAGCAAATCTTAGAACAATTATCATCTATTGATTAAGTTCCACGGGCTTTAAATGCCATCTCTACACTAACTTACAAAAATCATATTTTATCTTTATTGATGTGCATCTTAATATTCTAATGTTCCACATAGTTTACCAAGCATTACAGCTTATTTCTTCTCCCAAATCTCTTTCCCATAACGTTTTAAATAGATTATCCTGTTCTTCCATGTCCAATAAATTATTATTATTTACTATCCACTTTCCTACCTTCTCTCTTGTGCTTTTTTCATGTAAAAAATTTCCTTCATATTTTGTAGCTTCCCAACATTCACTGTTTATTTTCTCCACTTCTTTTCCATGGTTCTAATTGAATAGCATTGTTATACCAATATACAGTGGTGCCTCGCAAGACTATTGCCTCACAGGACAAAAAAAACGCAAGATGATTGGTTTTTGTGATCGCTATGGTGCCTCGCAAGATGGTTTCTTATATGACCATGTTTTGCAAGGCAGTTTTTCCCCCGAGACCAATGCCTCACAAGACGAATAAATTTCATTCATCTTGCAAGGTTTCCATAGGAAACCTCACAAGATGATTGTTTCGCAAGACAGCAATTCTCACAGAATGAATTACATTTGTCTTGTGGGGCACCACTGTACAGTATTTTGTCTTTGCCTAACACCTCCTTTACTTGTTCTTTATTCTCATTTTTCCCCACTCAGTTCTTTAATGTAAAGACTTGTCTCTTCATCAAAAATTCTTCAACTGATCTTTTCAAATTCCTTGAAATTTTTCCAGCCCTATCACTGGACTTAATTGAGATACATATGGCACAAATAATTTTCTATCTTCATTCCATATTGTTACCATATTATTAAGAAAATAATTTTCTATTTTTTAACTAACTTTTTTGCTATCTTGTATGGTGAGGATATTTACCAAGTTGAAATGTAGTTCTTGTCTTTCCATATTCAGACAGATTAATTAATTGGGCTGAGCTATTACATCTCAAATATATCATTAGTGGATTGACAATATAGCATAGCTTTAATTTAGGCAGACTTAAACCTCCACTTTTTTGAGATTTATACCATCTTTTCTTATTAATCCTTGGTTTCTTATCTCTGTTACAAAATGTATTAATCATTTTGCCAATCTTCATTAATCTTTATTGGTAGCATCATAAATAAATTTTACATGCTGTAATTCTACCAAACCATATTAATCATTTTGCCAATCTTTATTCATCTTTATTGGTATCATCATAAATAAAAAAAGTATTTGGTAGCATCTTCATTTTACATGCTGTAATTCTACCAAACCATGACAAATTTTTCTGGAGTCATAGTTACTTGTTCCAATGAATTAAAATTTTCAGAAAAATACAATTTTTTGTGAGAAAAGCAACTGTACCATTCTGGAAGGGGAAGAGGGCCCTAGAAGGGTAAATGGTTTAAACTAACTTTTTCATAGTTACTTGTTCCAATGAATTAAAATTTTCAGAAAAATACAATTTTTTGTGAGAAAAGCAACTGTACCATTCTGGAAAGGGAAGAGGGCCCTAGAAGGGTAAATGGTTTAACCGGTTGTTTCCTAATGGTCCCAGTGGCTGTGTGCAAGAATGTATGTCGCCTGTGTGCATTTTGTTTCCTCCTTAGTTTTGGTTATTAGATTTTTTAATGTTTATTAACTGTTTTGCTGAGGAAGTCCTGTTTTCTCATCTGGGGGGGATGTTTTCCATGTTTTAGGGGATCATAAAAACACCCTGGGGCCCCAGTTTGAAATTCTTTTTTAAAGAATTGGCCACTAGAAAGTTCAAGAGGGCTTTTCCATTATTATTATTATTATTATTAAGTTACTTTATTTAAGGTCGAAACAGAAAAATTCTAGCCAATGTTCCATCTAAGGCGCACAAGGCATGCAAGCACTGTATCAGGCACAGGCAGTCAAGCCGACATTTCCACCCATTTGCTCTGGAATCCCACACACAGTGGGCAGAGCTTTTGTGAAGCACTCCAGAAAATGAGAGGGAATGTTGATGCTGCTGTGTTAATTTTTTAAAAAACATGCACATTACGGAGTGCAATGCTTGGGCTGCTGGTGAATCCGAAAAATGACTCCTAGTCCTACTGAAGGTGCCCACCTTGATACAGAGTTTCCTCCCTATCTGATTCACATTGAACAGTGTGTAGTTTTAGATACCTAACAGTTGGTTGAAACTGAAAAATTCTAGCCAATGTTCCTTCTAAGGCGCACAAGGCATGCAAGCACTGTATCAGGCACAGGCAGTCAAGCCGACATTTCCACCCATTTGCTCCGGAATCCCACACACAATGGGCAGAGCTTTTGTGAAGCACTCCAGAAAATGAGAGGGAATGTTGATGCTAGCAATCTACACAGTACACAACCACTGTGTTAATTTTTTAAAAAACATGCACATTACGGAGTGTAATGCTTGGGCTGCTGTTGAATCCGAAAAATGACTCCTAGTCCTACTGAAGGTGCCCACCTTGATACAGAGTTTCCTCCTTATCTGATTCACATTGAACTGTGTGTACGTAGTTTTAGATACCTAACAGTTGCATGGGTGCCTCTCTGTTTTTGGACAAAATAATAACAATAGTTCTGGTAAGATGGGAAATCTGAAGAGAAGTATTGGTGTTGTTGTTTTTGTACCATATGATTCTGTGACATCCATGGCCTCAGTGTCCTCCTGTGCCTGCAACAGTTCTGATGCATCTGCATTGTAAACGATGAAGTTGACATCTATTGGTTCAAATGTTTTGCCGTCACCAAACTGACAATAGCAAGTGGTAGGATTTTCTGGTGCAATACAGGAACTCTTGGCCTTTGAAGGGTTGGGTTTACTCTTTACTGTTTTCTCAGGTTTCTTCCGTTCTGCTTTTCCTTCACGTACTTGATTCTGAATCATATTACTTTCTGTTCCCAGTGGTTCTAAAAAAGAAGTGAATGTAATATGGCCTTAGACTTCATTTTAGCTGCACCATGATGAACCATAGTAAACGTTCTTACAGTATATTTTAACAGTTATTATGCCCTTACTGTGTGTCAATGATTGCTCTAATTTGTTCTCAGAGCCACCTTCTGAGATAAATTATGGTTCTTTCTTTGAAGCTAAGAAACATCAGTTCCAAAAGGGACACAGGATGCAACCATGTAGCCATTAAAAAGAATCCTTATTAAACAAATATTGGAAGAAAGAAGAGGTACTGTCTGTGGAGGAACTGACAGAAAAGATACTGGAAGTGGCAGAGATGGATGTACTAACAGAAACATGAAATGAAAGCTCATCTCAATAAGGTCTTTATAGGAAACTTCTTTAAAGGAACGTCTTTATAACTGGATCCGAAATATGGACTGGATGTTCTTATATTTTAACAGTTATTATGCCCCTACTGTGTGTCAATGATTGCTCTAATTTGTTCTCAGAGCCACCTTCTGAGATAAATTATGGTTCTTTCTTTGAAGCTAAGAAACATCAGTTCCAAAAGGGACACAGGATGCAACCATGTAGCCATTAAAAAGAATCCTTATTAAACAAATATTGGAAGAAAGAAGAGGTACTGTCTGTGGAGGAACTGACAGAAAAGATACTGGAAGTGGCAGAGATGGATGTACTAACAGAAACATGAAATGAAAGCTCATCTCAATAAGGTCTTTATAGGAAACTTCTTTAAAGGAACGTCTTTATAACTGGATCCGAAATATGGACTGGAAAATATATATAAAAGAAGTATGAGAAGGTCCAAAGGAATGGGGAGAGTTGTAAAGATAGATGGTCTGGAAAATTGTTAGATTGTTTACCCATGCGATTTCCCTTTTTAACATAACTAAGTGGATGTAAGAATACTCTTCCACTCTCTGGAATTTTACCCTTTCCCTAACTCTAACCCTATTCCTTCCTTCCTTATTCCCTTGTACCCACACCCCAACCCTTACCCCTATTGAAAATGAATTTTAAAAAAGAATCCTTATTAAACAAGGCAGTTTACTTCTCAATAGAGATACAAAGGGTAGGTACAGTTAGTCACACTGCAAACTTTGCAAAAGACTAAAAAAACCTGGTGTCATATAAGGTTCTATAGAGAAAATGTTTAGATGTATGAAATTTGTAATGTTTGTAGCTATATATATATTAGACAATAGAGGAGCATATGAAAGCAAGGAAAACTGGTTTGCAAGGTGACATAAAACAACAAGTTATTGACTCAAATGCACCCAAGGATTTTGCCCCACTGCACATTTGGAATCCAGCCTACTTTAATATACCATGACTGAAATATTGTTGCTTTGTTAAATACACAGAAGTCAAAATGTGTCATACTGTATTTTCTGCAGTTATTTTCCTAACTGGCTATTAAGTCACTGCTAGGATTCTTGAGGGCAGGGTGCCCACTTAGCTTGTTGTGGTGCCTAAGAATCCCAGTGGAGACTTGCTAATGGCCATCTGAGAATGAGAAATGTTGTGCCTTTTGCATAATAAAACAATAGGATTTCAACCCATGTAGTTCAGTGCTCAGGACCTGGTAAATGGTGGAAACTAGGTCAAGATAAAATTTCATTCATTTTAATAACAAATTTTGAAAAATGTTTAATAAACACAACAAAAAGAATGGTGTTTTAAATCAAACAGATTCTTCACAGCCATTTGCTATATGACAGGCAGCTACAATGTGGTCCTAAGAGTGGATGTACCTACTAAGTGAGGATTCTGTTCCAGTTGTATTTGACAAGCTTTTATCAAAATTCATGAAAAGCAGGATGAAATAAAATTGGACTCTGAATATGAGATAAAATGGAAGTAACAGGTTCATTCATCAGTTACCTCTACATGCAACTGCAGCTGAAATCCTTTTCGCACAATCATGCCTGCACAATTGATGAGGCCATCAGCAGTGGCAATTTTTCAGAAATTAAACATTTCCTACTTCTGCCACAAGGCTCCCATCGCTCCCATGTATTCTCTTTCATTGGCAAAAATTCCATGGGAACCACAGGATTGGACGAAGATGTCTTTAGTAGCCTAAAATTGCTGCTGCTGGGAAGACTTCACTGGAAGCTGTGGTTTTAGACAATTAATGACTTCATCTTCCCACCCCGTGGCTTCCACTGCTCTCCACTGGTGAAATACAGTAACATGAGAGCTATGGAATCTAGAGGCAGAAGTAAGAGATGTTCAATTTCTGAAAAAAATGTACTTGCTAATGGCATAATCAGAATTAAATAGGTGTAGTTATGCAAACAAGATTTCAAACAGTGAATCTGGTGGAATGATTCTTACATAAAGGTTGTTAATTTGGAACATATACTCCCAAACATTCCTTTGCATCACAACAGGGGTGGGAAGGAGGTAGCTTTGCCGATGTTACTCCCCATTAGCTCATCTCACTGCGATCAGTGGTCAGAGATTATAGGAGCCAAAGTCTAAAATATTTGGAGATCAGTCTTCTGCCCATCCTTGTATCAGAACACAGCAATAAGTAGTACCTTCAGCTCTTGGGGTTAAAAGCAAAAAGCAAAGCATGCTGTTTATATACCGCCCCATAGTGCTTCAAGCACTCTCTGGGCGGTTTACAAGTTAATTATGCAGGCTACACATTGCCCCCCCCCCCAAGCAAGCTGGGTACTCATTTTACCGACCTCGGAAGGATAGAAGGCTGAGTCAACCTTGAGCCGGCTACCTGGGATTTGAACCCCAGGTCGTGAGCACAGTTTTGGCTGCAGTACAGCGGTTTAACCACTGTGCCATGAGGGTTAGATGATAAAAATTTAGTGAAAACTCTAACATGAAGATGTTGGTGGAGCCAGGCTGGTTTCTGTTTTTTTGAAAATACAATCATTTATTGCTGTGTTTATTAATGGACAGAATATAGAGCTGTGATAGTGCTTTTCTCATGCAGTAAACTGGTCGAAAGCACTGTATGTAATATGAGGTTATTGAGCATGTAGAACAAGGCTGGACAACTGTGGCTCTGCAGCTGTCGGCCGAAATTGTCTTGCATAGTTAATCTTGATGTAACACTGACTGTGCAAATATTAGCGTTACAAAATCACGATTGACATTATCTGTTACATACAGGGCAGCTCAGGACGCAACCTCTACACTGGCTTTGTAACTTGAGAGAATTTGCCTCTCAAAATTACACCAACATAACTACATGAGAAGGGTTTGACCTTTTTTACACTGCAGTTCCCATAATTGATTATTTTTTTTTCTGCAACTGGCAGTTGAATCAATTTGTTCTCTCTCAGTTCTTCCTCTTGGCCCCCAGGGCACCTTTATGGTCCCAGCCTGACAGCCATTCTTTACTGTAGTCTCCCACAGCCCAGTCCATTCTTTCAGACCTTGTTTAGCCTGTGTACTCCTTCCTTTGGTTTCTGCAGCTTCTGCCTCTAACTTTAACAGTGACACTGAATGCTCTATGAGGAAAGAAAGAAATCAGTAGACTATTATAGCAGGCAAAACCAATTTTTTTAAAAAAAACTAAAGAATGTTGTGGCATCTGAAAGACTAACTGCTATAATTTTTTAAAATTTTTATTAATTTTCAAACAAAAGGAAACAAGTATACAACACACTACTCATAAATCAACTTAAAAATAGAGAAAGCCATATTTATCAACCCTCTGCCACCCTCACCCTCAGAACTGGTTTTTATTTTTATTTTTATATTTCATACTGGCCCATTTCTCTCCCAACGTACAGTGGTGCCTTACTTAACGATTACCTTGTTAAACGACAAAACTGCTTGACAATGAGGTTTTTGCAATTGCTTTTGTGATCACAAAATGATGTTCTAATAGGAAAAATTCACTTCACGACGATCGGTTCCCTGCTCTGGGAACCAATTTTTCACTAGGCGACGATTTTCAAACAGCTGATTAGCGGCTCTAAAATGGCCGGCTGCTGTGTAAAATGGCTCCCCGCTGTGCTTTAGGACGGATTCCTTGCTATACAGGCACCGGAAAATGGCCGCCCTATGGAGGATCTTCGCTTTACATTGAGATATTTAGCCCATTGGAATGCATTGAAGGGTTTTCAATGCGTTTCAACGGGTTTTTTAAATTCGCTTGATGACAATTTCGTTTAACAGCGATTTCGCTGGAACGGATTAACGTCGTCAAGCGAGGCACCACTGTATACCGTTTCCCTTTCTGAAACACATATACCAAAAATGAATTCCATATTTCTTTAACATCATTAAATTTCAATATTCCTTTTAGAGTCTTGGTTTCACAGGTTAAATTATCATTAATGTCCATACTCCAAATTTCTTTATATTATACCTCCATATTAAGTTGTTTATTGTTTTTCCAATTCTTTACATATACCAGTCTTGCCAGGATAGTTGAGTATTTTTAGTTGTAGGATCAGCTTTTTGTCCTTTTCAGGAGATAGGGTGATTGTGATCAGGGTGTTTTTTTGTTATGGCTGTATTGTTGTGATAGGGATGAGATGATCTGTCACTGTGATTAATAGGTATTGTTAGCTAGTCTTTTGTGTGCAGTGATCACTGGTCCTTGTGGCTGGGTAGAGTTTGTTGACCTGCAGACTAAAACAACCAGAAAAATCAAAATCGGCAGTAGCTGAATATACCCTGAATCAAACTGGACATGAAATCCTATTTCAAATTACAGAAGAACTGGATAGCACCAGCAATCATTATGTTAGACTACACAGGGAAGCCATTGAAATCTACAAATATCAGCAAAGCTTCAACAAAAAAGAAGAAAGTCTAAAACTCAACAAAGCCTGGCTCCCAGCACCGAAAAATACAGCCTGCAAAAAGGTCAACGAACCTGGTCAACCAGCTACAAATACTCAACTATCCCACAAAACTGCACCAGAACAGAGACAGAGTTCTAACTCCTGTCCTCTGAAGATGCTGGCCACAGAGACTGGCAAAATGTTAGGAAGAAAAACCTCCAGAACACAGCCTAACAGCCCGAAAAACCTAGATCCCAGCCGTGAAAGCCTTCGAGAATACTCCTTAAAGATTATTGGCCGCTCTTTCTTCCTTATTTCACAAGTCCACCATATATGTAAATACATCCTGTTTTCTTTTTTACATTTCCAGCATGAAGATGGTACAATTTTGTTTAATAAATGCAATTTTACGAGTGCTAAGTATCATCTCCACACAACTTTATAATAATAAATTATTATAATATTGTTTAGCCCTTGCAGACATATTTTTCATTATTCATTATTCTTTTATTGCACATTTTATTCCAATCTTCCTCCAGTCTTCCTTTTTGTAGCCAAATCTCTTTGTCACACATCTTTTAAAACTTCTTAAGAAAGAAGTCGAGTTGTCATGATTTGACTTCCATAAAATTTCACCTGGATGACTGAAAATCTTCACAGATCTTTTAAAACTGTTCTTTTATATTCTATTTGTATTAACATCTTTTATATTATGCTTAATGTCCTCTTTCTATTTTTACTAGTTTCTGTTTGTTCTCTTTTTTCAATGATCTCACATTTCATAATTGGCTCTTCTTCCTTCCTTTTTCATTCCTTTGGCCAATTATCCAATTGCAGTATATTTAGCCATGAAATCCCCTCCTCTCCCAACTGCTATATTTTAATGTGAGCTTTCCTAGACCAAGTCCATTTCTTCAGACAATTTACCAGATAAGATAAAATAACATCTTTTATACTATCTTTAGTGGGCTTACTGCAAATAACGATAGCCCTCGTGTCATTTCAATTAATGTCAGTTCACCAGAAGTTCTATGACCTGCATAGTACTGCAGTTCTCCTCTGCAGCTGCTTTTGCTTCAAATCCACCTCCCATCCCCAGTAATGAGAACATGGAAGAGGGAATTCAAGGAGAAAGCATGTGTTTTTATCGATAGTTCTCAACCTACAAGCAACAGAGGCATGCGACTGGTTCTTCTGCATATGTTTAATTTCCAGTGACATTACTTTTA